ACTCGCATTAATGGCTCATTAACTCATGAATCACCTGACTTCCCTGAAGCTTGTTTGCTTTCGATAATTAATGTTCATTTATTTTATAATGTGTTGCTTTAGTGATTGATATTCATAGATATCTCTGTGTCGATATATGGGTTTTGTGGCTGGCATGATTGCCTTGTGAAAGTTTTGTTTTATCTTTGTCTATGTTTAGTTATTTTCCTCCTAATTATATCAGGATATGCATGCAAGATAAGTGAAAATTGTACAAAGATTCCTGGAAGATGCTGCTTGATGAATTTGATTTTTATAAGAAGTTGATGGGTGTTTAAATGTATACTTTAGGAGCTGTTGGAATTTTTTTGGGTAATTTCATTCAATTTTGGAATCAATATGTCCTTATATGAATTTGATTAGATTTTCAAATCATTCAGTCTTTGTTTGGTCTTCCAGACTCAGTACTATGAACTCACAATCTTTCTTCATATATGTTTCCTTCCCTCACTTTCTGTGCTGTTAAGAACAAGATTTCATCCCTTTGGGGAAAAACTGGGAATGAGAGTATTAGCTTCAAGCTTCTAGTTTGTAATCATCATGTAGGGTGCTTGATTGTGTGAAAATGCTTCATGGCTTAATTGTCTAAACCAAAAGAATCAATATTTTTTTTCTTTCCAGAGTCTAGGATTTAGGATCCAACAGTCCATGACTGTTCATGTAAGCTTAAGTTTATTAAAGGTCACAAACTGTGAAATTTATGGCTTTTAACTGATCATTTTCATCCTTCCTGTGTCAGTGAAGAAACCTATCATTGTTACTTTAGGTTATTCATGTGGAATTGTGTCGGCTTCTTTATATCGTCTCAGTGATTAGAACAACGAAATCTCATACGCTTTTCCTAAGGACTGACCTACTAGCAACAAAATCTCATGCGGATTTGATTTATCTTAAGGGCCTTGGACTGATATATTTTTTGAAGTGGTTGACAAGCAATCATTGTTCCAATTTCAAAACCTGATTGGCTAGATTCCAATTATAGTTTTTCTTTTTCAGTTTGTGCAAGAACCTGGGGCATGAAATGTTTACAAATTTTCTTTTTGTTTGTTAAGATGTTCCCTTGAAGTGGATAAACATTGATACAATGCAATCGAGGGCAATGGGAGCTTTAGGTCTCCTGGTGCTGGTTTCTAATAGCAGTCTTTGTTGGAGAGGTTTATTCCGGTTCTATGGTTGAGTTATTGCTTACTTTTTGAATTTTGGGAATGATTATGGAGCTTTTGCTGAGAATTTAGTAATCCTTAGCATTTCATTGCTTGCATTTTGTCTCTGTGACCTATGGTCCCTCAGAGTTGGGCTTATTTCTGATTGTGAAAGGAAAATTTCCAGTGGTTAATTGTATTTTCAGCTAATTTAACCAGGTTGCATATGTTATTATATGTTATGATCTATATGTTACATAATTTGTGAATATTCTGCTACATGATTTTGTTGTATTATAGCGGATTGTTCTGCCAGACAGTGTCAAGGACTTGTTTCTCTTTCCTTGTTAATCTGATTGAAGCCACAATGGAAATTAGTTGCTGTAATTACACTTTCTTATGGATATATTAACTATTCAGTCACTGTCATATGGATTTTTACCTAGTGTCAACCTTATGAGTATGAATAAATTTCTTGCAAATATGACTTGTATTCTTGTGGACAGTGAAATTGTTAAATAAATGAAGCACCTTCAGTTTGCCATATGGCTTGTTTCTTTTTTTTTTTTCCTTTGGTCCCTTGGTTATTTGTTGTACGTACTTCTTGCACGGTTGTAATTTTTTGAGACAAGTTGTATGACAAAATTACCGGAGGCTAGCATGACTTGTACTAAGATACCTAACTTCTTCTACCAGTGGATAAGTGAAAAATAATCTGCTTTGTAAATCAAACTGTTGATGGATATTGACAAGCCAAGGGATTTTTTTTTAATTTTTTAATCCTCTTATGTAGCTTTTTTTGGGTGAGATACCTCTTATGTAGTTTAAGTCTTTTGGTGTAAATATGGAACCACAATTCACGTAATTATTTCCTGAGTAGTTCTCTGTGTGGTATCAACTTGCTCTGTAGGTGGATTATTCATGTACCCCAGAGGAGGTACAGCAGCATTTTCAAGCATGTGGAACAGTTAATAGAGTAACCATCCGAACAAACAAGTTTGGCCAACCAAAGGGATATGCTTATGTCGAATTTCTTGAACCAGAAGCTGTTCAAGAGGCTCTCCTTCTCAATGAGTCTGAGCTTCATGGTCGCCAGTTGAAAGTAAGAAAACACATAAGCCAAGGTTCAATCTTCTATGCTTGTTTTGTTTCAAGAAACAACTTCTTGACATAAGGAATCTGAATCCTGCAATGAAAGTAAGCAAACACATAAGCCAAGATCCAATCGTCTGTCCTTGTTTTGTTTCAAGGAACAACCTCTTGGCAAAAGGACCCTGAATCCTGCAATGACTTTAGTTGCATGGTGAAGCCTTACCGTTTGTTTTCCTATTCATTTTGGAGGCTTGCTTTATCTCTTTAACTCTGGATATGTTATTAGGTATCTGCTAAACGGACTAATGTTCCTGGCATGAAACAATTTCGTCCCAGGCGTCCCAGCCCCTATATGGGATTTAGGGGCAGGACACCTTATGTGGCTCCTTATGTATATCCTCCCTATGGATTTGGGTGAGCTTCCATGATTTCTCTGCGATGTTATTTTTTCTGTAAATTGTGTTTGCTACAATGGACATTCCACATGTTATTACCTTGGGCAATGGTATTGGAAATATCTGTTTTGCAGGAAGGTTCCCAGGTTCAGAATGCCTATGCGTTACAGCCCTTATTTCTGAATCCGGTTTTCCATGAGATCATATGATAGGGCGCTCTTCTGCAAAGCCTGTGTCTTGCCTTGTGATGTGTCATCCAATATGCTTGGAAGGAACCCATTGCGGTTTCGGGGTGGAGTGGTGGTTTCGGGATCGGTCGAGAATCTGTCAGTCCTTGGTGGTACTTGTATGCTTTACCTTCTGGATATTGTTGGTTAATATTGTAATTATGGACCCGAACAGTTTCTTCTGCTGTGGATTGATGCTGTTTGAGTGATTTACGCAAGGTCTTTTAATGCCTCCTCATTTTTCAATTGCATGTGTGCACTTATTTATTTATTTTTTGAAAAAAAAGGATTTTGGAACTAATAATGTCTGGATAACACATTACGCTAGGAAAAGATCTCCCATTCCTCTCGCGCCTGGAGGCAATTAAACGCTCGAATATCTGAATGAGGCAGATGATACCTTTGTCCAGTTAAGCAGGGAATTCAAGTCTTTACCTGGAACCGAGTTCTCTTTTTTTGATTATTATTTATTCAAAAAACCTTGCCCACATCGTCTGAGTTCGAGAGCAGATTGCGATACTTCTATTGCCGTTTGATGTAAACTCCAATGGCTGCAAGAGGAATCACTTTAATGGTCGTTGATGTTTATTTTTTATTCCTTGTAAGCTAGCTGCCGCAAACTACGATCTTTTGAGATATGGGTGTTACTTAATATTCTTATGAATGTGCAATAATTGCACGTTATTTTTTGTGATCAACGGTTTAGCAGCCCGAATGCTTGATTGCTGACTAGCAGGCTGGTTCAAGATACTTCTCACGAGTAAAAACGACATTATTAACACTAGTGCTCATGGCACACGGCATGTGTGTGCCATCGCTAATATTTCTTTTTGTTATTTTTAAAAAAAGAATAAGCGAAAATTAGTTATACATGAAACAAGTTTATTAATTTTTGAGTTCTTTTTGGATTATATATTGATATATTGATTGGTTATGCACTAAGTAATAGTTAAAAGCCTTGAAAATGGGAAGCTTTGAAAGTTTGAGTGTTTAAAACCATTAATTAGTTTAGTTGGTTTTACACTAATGTGCATTAGGAGAGAAACAGAATGATGTAAAAGATAATTAATAGATGACTTATTAATAGATAATATAAATAAAATAGCTCGCTATTAAGCATTATGCAAATTTTCTTTTAAAAAAATTGCATTCCACTTGACAGAATGTATAGTAAAAATTGGGTTTATGTAGGTGCTTCATTATTCTGGAAAAAGAAAATTGGTTGCATCTTAAATAGGTGTGTTAATTATTTTTTAATTTTTCCAACCACATCTTTATTTCACATACATGATATCATGGAAGTTTCTAGAGTATGGATAGCAACTTTTTCCAAAAGAAAAAATTCGCTTGCATCATGAACACATTTTTCAATTCATTTTTTTATATTGTCAATCACCTTTTTATCTCACATCATAAAAATTGTTACAGTAATTATTCCAAATAATTATTTGGGATACTCTATCGAAACAAAAGTCAAGTTGAGCCTTATTATGCATAAAAAAGAAAAAAAAAAAGTTGATCCTTATTACTGTAAATTGTATCTTAATAGACTAAGGTCTTGTTTGATAACGTAATTCATCACTTAAAATTAATGTATTTAGATCTTAATATATTCAGACACGTTTGATAACAAAAAATTGAACATCTGAATTAATTAAGTGCCACTAAATTTTCTAAGTAAAATTTGCTTACAAAAATAAGTGATAAGTTATTCACTTATCGCTAAATGTCATATACACTCAAATATATTTAATTTAATATTTAAGAGTTCAATAACATAATGGATTCATATTTCAATTTGTAAATTTTAATTTTATCAAATGCACACTAAGAAGTAATTGAGAAGGAATTTTTTAATAAAAAATTATGTCCAACAGAGATGACATTAAAATAATCATTTGAAAAACCCTCAAGTTTGAGGTTGTATTTTTCTTTTTGATATATACCATAAACCGTAAAATGTAACTGTGGAAAAGGATGTGAATAATCTAAGCTAAAATCTATGCTAATTGCTAAGATTTTCGTTTTCCGTTCCTTTTTTTTTTTGTTTTTTTAATTAGTCTTCTTTCTGATCCTTTACCAGTCCAAATCTCAGGACAGAAGCAATGGCTCAGGCGCTGACAACCACCATCACAGTGGCGGACGTGACCTGCAACTCAAACGTCCCAAGCGCCTTCCTCCACCCTGCAGCCACTAAACCCACTTTACTGTCCTCTTTCCCGTTCAACTCTTTTCCCCGTAGAAAATTCAATGCCAAGCCCATCTCAGCCGTGGCCACAACACCACCAGCCCAGAAGGATTGGAGGCCAGATAGCTGGAAATCCAAAACAGCGTTTCAGCTCCCAGAATATCCGGATAAATCTGATCTTGAATCAGTTCTAAAGATCCTTGAATCCTTCCCTCCTATAGTTTTTGCAGGGGAAGCTAGAAACCTCGAAGAAAAGCTCGGCCAGGCTGCACTTGGGAACGCTTTTTTATTGCAGGGTGGTGATTGCGCTGAGAGCTTTAAAGAATTCAATGCCAATAATATTAGGGACACTTTCAGAGTCATTCTGCAGATGGGGGTTGTGCTCATGTCTGGTGCAAAAGAGGACATATGCATATTTTTTATTAAGAGCAATTTCAAGGCTTCTTTTTATGGACACCGGACTTAAACAGCACTTAATACAGTCCTATAATAATCAACCTTCCTTTCATATTTTACTAAGATATATGATCATAGTACTGATCATAATTACTACTGGTAGTGGTATCACTTAATTTACCCCTCTATTGCAATTTTCACATTTTTCTTTTTCATGCTTCTAGTAATGGTGATGAATATACACGTCACGTCACACAAAACAACAAAACCACTTCTCCGGCCAGCAGCAGCACCCAAAGCTGGCCTCATTCCAAATTTCAAAAACCATTCTGCGACCGTGTATCTACATAAAAAGTACGGCTGCCACACCTCATAATAACATAATTTCCATTTACCCATCCATCCATCCATCATCAACTCTCTTTTTTTTTTTTCCGGGTTGGGTTGGGTCGGGTCGGGTTCATCAATCATCACAATCACAGTCAAACCAGTGTCGAGCAGGCAGAGCTCTGGGGGTCCCATATAGCCGGCAGCAAGAACTTGCGACCATTCACCCCGTTCGCATTGTAACTCGCCCCGCTGGCCTTATCCACCAGCAAGTTACCCGGGTAGCCCGGGTAAGACCCCGACCCGAACATCCCCGTACACGCCGACACGGCCTCTAACGGCGCCGTTGCTGGGCCCTGGAAATACCCGCTGTTGTACGGATTCGTAACGGCTCCCGCCAAAACCGTGGCCAAGTTTATTACCATGCCGTCCACTCCGACGTCTCCGTTGGGCGCCACCAGCGGAGGAGTCTGGGGACCGTACAGCGGCTGGTGGAAAGGCCAGGCGCACTGCCCCGGGCACTGAGTCTCCGAGTTACCAACCCAGGCATATGCAAACCGAGCCGGGCCCCGAGTCGAGCCGTGCGTCCCGCACCTGCTGCAGAACCCGTCCACGTAAACGTCCGCCGACGTCAAAACAACGTTAATGGAACCAGCCATGTGGCCCCCTCTGGCAGCCAAATAAACGAGATTCGAGTTCTTGAGCATTTTTCCGAGAGAGTAGTTCTCGTCGAGAATCTGCTTCCCCACGACCAGCGTGGAGGCGCCACCGCCCTTGTACTTCTCGGTCGTCATCCACCAGGAGGCGGCGGAGGGAGAAGCCGCCCTGGGGGAGTTAAGGGATTGAAGAAAATCGACAATAATGGAGCGCTGGGTGGGCGTAAACTTGCCGTACCAGATGAGGTTGACGGTGATTTTACCTTTGAGAAGAATACCGTTATGGTATTGGAGGACCAGGGGCTGCTGTTGGACCAAGGCCGCGGAAGCCGGTTCAGATATGAGAGTGGATAAGAAGATGGTACTAGCGAAGAACAGAAGAGTACCACAAGTAGTAGAAGAAGAAGCCATTGTTGTACTGCTATTCTTGATATTATTATTATTTTTTTGTGTTTTTTTGGGACAGAGTTAAGAAAGAAGGCTCTGCTGCGGGTTTGAGAGGAGGATGTAGCAGCTTATATATAGAGGCCCGAAGACAGGAAGGACAGCTGTAGAAGCGAAGAAGATGTCAACTGGGGAGGGATGCGAGGTGGAGGCAGGGGATTGGGGAGAGGGGAGTTCGGCCAGGCTGGAAGCTGGAGACGGATGACGTGGGAGTCTAGAGTGGGGTTTGATCTGACGTGGTGGAGAGATGGGGAATGCAATTGAGAGAGAAGGGGTGGTGTTGACGTGTGCATGCCATTACACCTGGACTGATATTTTTGTAGTATTTTGTTTTACTCCTCCTACGCTACCTACTGAAAAAAAAACACGCACGCAGAAGAGAAACAGGGCCCTGGCTGCCCGAAACAGGAATCCAGAAGGAAAGGACTTTGATGCCCCATCTCATCCAAATCCATTCCTCTACGCTTTCCCTCCCTCTCTCTCTCTCTTCATTGCCACGCTCAACAGCTGTCTGTAAAACGCTGATGCGGTGCAAAGCTTTCATGCCTTCTGGATTGGCATTTATTGGTAGCAGTGACATCTACCTTTTGATTTTGAAATATCATGTGTTTGGATAATAATCCTTGTTTGGTTGCAATTTTTTTCAAAATACTTTTATATTTTATGTAAACATATTTTTCTGTTATTTTTTTACCTTACATTTATCAAATCGTTACAGTATATTTTTCTATAAAAAAATAAAAGCTTCATTCATATTATAAACCTATTTTCGAATCATTTTTTTGTTCAACATGTTGGTAATAGTTTGTAACGAGAAAATTGAAAAAGTTCATTCTTCCACGTTGAAAGAGGGCGCCTTGGACCTTGGGGCTTTCTGATCAGGGTAGGGTGTTAACTAACTAACTGTTTAAAATATGTTTTCACAGCTGCTCCATTTGTACCTTGGAACCATTTAGCAGTCGTGGCCCGTGATTATAAGCTAGTCACAAATGGAAGCAAACATGATGAATGAAAGCAAGTAGGATCACTAGATTCTTTGGTGATGTGGCATCTATCACATTAAGACCGAGCGCACATTTCAAACTAATTGCCAACAATTTTAGGGCTCACCTACATTTATGCCTCTGTATTCTCGCACTCTATCGTGTGTGTTGCCACTCAACAAGATTCATAGGCATGAATTGAATATCTTTTTTTTTTTTTTGCTTATTGAATACCTTTACGTCAAATAATGGTTAAAATTTTTTGAATAGTGAACAATTACATATCACGCGAGTCTTAATGAAAATATTAAAAAATTTTTAGTAAAAATTAGCTTTCCAAACAAGGCATTTTTTATTAAAATACTAATAAACACCACGATTTGTTTGACAGGGGCGTCCGTTTCGTGTTTTCTTCAACTTCTAATTTGTAAAGGGCAGCCCCCGCAATGTATTTATGTATGGCCCCATCAGCATCCCCGCTCTAGTCCTTAGTGGTACCACTACGACTAGTGAAATTCGGATTTTTCTCCCCAGTCTTTTAATTGTCAATTTAACTTGCGAGACACACGACCAATAAAGTTCCTTAATTCAAACAGTAGCACGATGCTGGTTCTTGTACGTATCCATCCAGAAATTCAAAAGAAAATCGGGACCACTGGGAAAGAAAGGGTACATGTCCTTATTTTGAGTTGGTAGAGGGCTATCTAAGATTCTATAGGGCAAAAGGGTAGGGGGCTGCACGAAGCTGGCGTTTGGTGATTGGAGGGCATTGGTGGGGATGGACCCGAATGTGGAGTCCACCGGCGGTGACTTGCTTTTGGGTGGCAGTGGTACAGAATTCGATGCTAAATTGCTAATAGTAGTGTGCTTCTCTTGCTTTTTAGGGCCTGTTTCATTACACACACTACTAATTTTTTATTCATTCATATACCAATGCCACTACTAAGCAGGTCGCATGATCGGTCCGGAACTTCCAATAAAATGACTTGGCTTTTTTATGCTGACTCTCCCTTCGCAAAGGGCAGACTGAGCGGGCGGGGGGGGGTCCCCGGCTCGTTTCTTGGTTGGTTCGTTTTCTCGAATCTAGGCGTCTGAGTTCTTCGGTTGTTGGATTTCGTGACCTTACGTCACTCTCTCTATCCACTCTACATTATTGTTTCAAAATTTAACAAAAAAAAAAAATTATACATTATTGTTAGTTTAAGGAACGATTGAAGCACAAAGAAACGTAAATAACCGAAGTGGACGCCGCGGACGGAGTTTGTTTGGATAAGAGTTTATTTGAATGATTTATTTGAGATAATTATTGTAATATTTGTTGTGATGTGATGTATGCGAGATAAAATGATGATTAGAAAGATGAAAGGGTGGTTGAAATTTATGAAATAAATTATTTTATTTCAAATGGGTATTAATTTTGGGGTTTTGGTGTTGGCCGGTTGGGTGGTTTTGTCGGTGGCGGTGTTCAGGTGGGTTCACCAGAGTCGTCGGAGAGTGGACCAAAAGTATTTTACTTACTAGTGCTAGTAAAAAGAGCTAATGACGGTGTATCGAGATTTTTCACCGGTAAATGCACCGCAGCTGCTCGAAAAAGGCAACGGTGCCGACTTTGTGTTTCTCGTTTCAATGCTTTGTTTGATTTGGATGGACGTTTTCGCCGCGTTAAATGTAAACTGGAATTTGGATGAAACTTGGAAATGCAACAATAATACTTAGTAGAGAGGAAGGAAATGGACTGAGTTAAAAAATATATATAACAGCTTTCTCCATTAACACATTTCTCTAAATCCTAACAGCTTTGTTTGGATTCTAAATTTTTTAGAGTTTTTATAAAAAAAGTATAACAATAATGATGTGATGTATGTAAAATAAAATTTTATTAAAATAATTTTAATAAAAACTAACCATCCAAACGAGCAATAAATTTATCGATGCCATACGAATGCATGAATCACTCAAACGCAACATGTTCAAATCATTCAATTTCTCTCTTCAAACGACTGGGAAATCCAGGTAAAATTTCAAACTCGTCGCGGTCATAATAATTAGATTTTTGCTACCCTCGTGCGCTCGATTGATTATTCAATTCTGAATCACTCAAGCGTAACATATTTTCCAACCTTTCTCGTGATTGCATGACATATTTTCATTTTTTTTTAAAAATTTTACTTAAACAGTATACCACAAATTCTGTTTGACCATTTGATTTAGGAACATTGGGCTTTCTTGCTGGTAAAAGGTGAAGAATGTACAAACTTTTGAAGTGGCATGTTTGAATGCTTGTGAATAAAGCCGGATGGAGGTAGGCACGAAAAGCATTTCATTATATATAGTAGTGTATACTCCCAAAGTCCACAGACTTGGCTTGTAATTGTCGCCCTTCAAAATTCGACCATGAATAAAAAATCACGTGTCCGTGTGCGTGTGGAGGTGGTGAAGTGAGGCGTCGTCGGCAATCTGAGGCTGGTCAAATTTGGACGAATCAAACTTATCTAATCACCTTTGCACCAGTCCAACATCAACCCCCGGTGGCCGGTGGGGGCCCCTATTAGTATTAGTGTATGATTTGGCGTTGTTCTTCTTCTTTTGACTTAAATGCTGGGCCCCTCTGGTTCTGATCTCACCGGTGATTAAACTAGCGGCAGCCACGTGTAAAACTAAACACCCCCTCCTTAAGGCTCAGCCAGTATCTGTGGCGCATTGCATGCTCTGCCAATCTGCTGCTACAATTTGCAGCAGGGGATAAGATAAGCTTCAGCTTCAAGTTCTGTGCTAAAAGTATGTAATGGGAATCAAGAATTAATTGAAGAAGAAGCACTGCTTCTTTTTTTTGCCAAAATGTATCAGCTAAACAGGCTTGTGATTGCTGACAAAAAGGCAAATTTTGCTGCCTCCCAATATCAGTAGCTTTGACATTTTACTGACTTACTCTTTTAGTTTTGTGGTCCAACTCCGATCAATTATTGTCCACCCAAAAACTTAGCGGTGTTTGGCCTGCAATTTTGTGTAAGAACGTGAAACGCATTTCTCAATCACCACGTTGTTGACTAATCGGCGTAAACGACGAATACCCAAAAGGGCATTTTCTTTCCCTGTCAATTACTCCGTCCATCGGAAAGGGGTGCAAGAATTGCCATTACAATTGTTATAATCGCGTCCAACGCAATTGGTTAATAGAAAGTAAATTGCCGTTTGTAATCGGTGGATAATGACAAAACAACCTTCTTTATAAAAAGTAAATTTAACATTCCGACTCTGAATGATGCAGGTTCTCTAGTAGTAGTAGTAGTCTCCACGCTCAGAGCAAACAGTCGTTTTTTTTTTTTAAAAAAAAAAACAATTTTTATTTAAAAGTGAATTTAACTTTGCGTAAAAATGAAGGAAAAACTCACCTCAACAGGTAGCCCGTGAGAGCTTATCCTCTCTTTATCTTATTGCGCTTTTCAATTGTCAGCGAATCACATCTCATAATTGGAGAGACAATTATGACAAACTCCTAAGACTAACAAGAGATGAGATAGCACAGTGAAAGTGACCTTGAAGGCCTTTTATCCGCTAAAAATGATCGATTAAGAGAGTATGTTGGATCAACAATGATGGAGCTCTCAAGTCGGTTGTTTGCATCAAGTGTCAACTACTAGGTGTTAAAACATACTTATCACTCATTAAACTACTAATCCTCATTAGTATAAAATTTGCATCAAATCCCGCTCAATACCAGAGCCATAGATTCTAGTAATGCTGGAAAAAAGGATTGATCAGGTCAGGAGCCCGTGGAGGCAGGTAGCTTTAACGTTTTCATGGTGGAAAACAGTTGTTGTCCATAAATGCGAGTTGTGTTCATGTAACTGGTTTTGAGCCATCAATGGGTGAGAGCGGCACACAGCCTAGAGTCGTGCAGTTCAGGCCCATCAAATTATTTAGCTAGCTAACGTTTAAGTGTTTGGATTATGATGAATCTTTACGACGATAATGTGATAGAGATAAACTTCTACAATATGTACTATGCTGTTTTTTAATATGTAGCATGCTGCATTCAAATCTCAAGCATGACAAATGGAAAAAAAAAAAAAAAAAAAAAAAGGATGGGTTTGCCTAATAAACTTCAAAAGAGTGTGTTTGGACGGGAGATTATTTGTCCGAATTTATTTGCTTATATCATCATTGCGATTTTCAATATATTTTTTTATTTTTTTAATTATTTATATATATATATATAGTAGTCATTTTGGTGGGGCTGAGAGAGAGAGAGAGGGTGGGGGTGGGAAAGGAGTGTCAAGGAATAAGGACGTGATAATCAACCGTACCAAGACATAACATCTACCAGAATTTTGAGGCAGATTGATGAAGTAATCAAACGACAAGAGTATCCGAATAATAGAGTAAGGGGTCAACACTCCTATCTACAAAATTTGTAGCATGATTTTTGAGAGCTCCTCTTCGATTTGATGCCCATCATTCTCCCTCCCAGACGTCTCTTTTCTTGACAAAATGGCCATATCATGTACATGCCTCTATGTTAAATGCAATTTGGACAGCTACCAATCAGCTGTACAAATAGCTCCTCAAGTTACATGAATCTGCCCACCCGCATTCAAGCCTTTCAATTCCTACTACTACTACTACTTAGGGGGCGTTTGGTTCGCACGTCGGAATCGGATTCGGATTCGGAATCGGATATCTTGGGTTTGGAATGAGGTCATTCATTCCAATATATTTGTTTGGTTCAAGTACCTGGAATGTGTATCATTACTATAGTTGATGTTTGGTTCGTCGACTCTTTCGGAATGGAATATAATAAATATATTATAAACCACATCGTAAATGATAATTATTGGCTCTTTGTAAATAAGATATAAGAAATTTTCACTAATTAAATATATTAGTATAAATGTATTAGTAAATATATTAGTATAAATGTATTGGTAAATTTAGATAATAATATTATCATTATAAATTTGTAACTAATTCAATTCAATATCATATATATAATTAAATATAAATATATAATTATATAATTATATAATATATACAAATATTAATTATACTAATATTTTATATAAATATAATATATATTACATATTAAATATAGTTATTATTATATATTATTATATTTAAAATAATAATTATTATAATTATATAACTTATTAATATTACATACATGTATATATTATAATTATATGCACATATAATATACATTTATAAATATACATATATATTATAAATATAATATTATATAACATTAATAAATTTATAATATATATTATATAAGTATAATTATATTTAACTAAATAATTATAATATATAATTATATAATACAATAACATCATTATTGTAAGTTTGTAACTAATTAAATTAAATGTTATATATATAATTAATTATAATTATACAAACGCTATAAAATAAATACATAATTATAATTATATAATATATAAATATTAATTGTACTCATATTTTATATAAGTATAATGCATATTAATATTAGATATAGTAATTATTATATATTATTGTATTTAAGATAATAAATATAAATATAAATATAATTATATAATTTAATGTTATATACATGTGTATATTATAATCATATGCACATATAATATGCATTTATAAATATACATATATATTATAAATATATTATTACATAATATTAATAAATTTATATATATATTATATAAATATAATTATATTTAACTGAATAATTATAATATATATTTATATAATGTACTAATATTATAATTATAATATATTATATATATGTACATAATTATAATTATATAATATATAAATATTAATTGTACTCATATTTTATATAAGTATAATGCATATTAATATTAGATATAGTAATTATTATATATTATTGTATTTAAAATAATAAATATAATTATATAATTTATTAATATTATATACATGTGTATATTATAATCATATGCACATATAATATGCATTTATTAAATATACATATATATATTATAAATATATTATTACATAATATTAATATATTTATATATATATTATATAAATATAATATATATTTATATAATGTACTAATATTATAATTATAATATATTATATATATGTATATATTATAATATATAATATATATAAATATTAATTATATCATTGTATAATTATAATATGTAATTGGATTTGTTTCTTGGAATCAAACTTGGGAATCGGACAAAACCCACCAAAATACTAGGGAATGGAGAAACACCAAATTTTTAGAAATCATTCCAAGATTTCAATTCAATTTGCCAACTAAATGTTCCTTATCAAAGAGGAAACTTCACAATCAGAAGATATTTTTTTAACTGAATCTGATTTGGTTAGACACTTGGTGGAATCTTTCTTGTATTACTGTTACTTAATTGAAGGGTTGGTGTGAGTGGAAAAGCTATTCTATAACGTCCTAACTTCAAAAGGCAACCAAGTTTTTGCTTGCCTAGCAAAGTAATAGCCCAGTTAAATTAAGAGAGAACTAGATAAGGAGATGCCACACATTGGACATGCATGCATTGAAGGATGTATTGGAGGTCAAACTGGGAGATCTGTCAGTTCTACAATATATTGCACAACAGTCCATAAGTGATGTTTATTTTAGATAACTCTGTTGTGCTTTATTTAAATACATAGTGATAATATTGATATTTCGAGTAGAAATTGCAACTTTAGGTTTTAGGCTCTAATGAATATCTGAACTTTTACCCCCAGATAAGTTCACAAAAGAAGAAAACAGGTGTCATTGCACCAAAGCGTTTTGTTCAGAGAGTGAGAAAACAAAATGAACTTTTCCGTGGCTACATGCATCAGGTATATCTTATGATCTAATTTTTTTGTGTTTACATTACATTGTTATGCAAGTATTCAAAAGAAAAAAAGAAAAAAAAAAGATATGCAAGTATTCAACCAGTCTTCACTTTTTTTTTGTTTTGGTTGGGGGGGGGGGGGTGGTAAGGGTTTAAAATTAACAAGTGAAATCGTAGTTGTTGTCTATCTATGCACAAATGTGTTTTTCCTGAATTTCTTAAAAGGTTATTGAAACATTGGCAAAATGCTATGCTCATCGAGCCACAGCTCATATCAATATGCCTGATCTTTCTTGATTTTAAGAACCTTTGGTAGCAATACATTCTGTACAAGCTAATTAGATTGAGTCTATGGTAAGCCATACATGTTTCAGAAGCTAATAATATGAACTTTGATAAGGTTGAGATAATCTGACATTGGGATAGGAAGCTGAAGTATGCTGAACTGTATTGAGCTAGTCATTCTGCACTCAATTATTTCTATTTTCATGTATACAATTGTGTCTCCTTCCTTTGTGTGGCTTTGTTTCTTATGATATATGGAGAATGTTATATATTAGATATCCTTCGACGTATCATGTACTTTTGTAGGATGCCCATGAATTTTTGAACTTCTTGCTCAATGAACTTGTTGATATACTGGAGAAAGAGTCGCAAGTAGCAAAATGTCCACCATCTCAGGAAAGGATTGCTAATGGGCAGAATAATGCTCGGTCAAATGGTGTCAAGGAGCCACTGGTTACCTGGGTACACAAGAATTTTCAGGTAATGCTCTTTTAAGTTCCTCTGATGCTTCCCCTAATTTCAATACCATCGTTGATAGGAAGAGCATGTGTGATCCCTGAGGACATTTGTGCATGATTTCCATTTGTTCTATTTGTCCGCTGATACTAGATGGAAAAAATATGAGGTTTAATTTTAAGTCAGTGGGGTGTGTGTTTATCTAAAAATTCAGCGTTTAGTCCATCAAAGGGGAGATATCTTTGTACTTTTCCTTTTTCCTCTGCACTGATGGCTCGCACATTGTTTGTTATTTGTTCTTGTTCAGGGAATACTTACCAATGAGACAAGGTGTCTAAGGTGTGAGACGGTTACAGCAAGGGATGAGACATTCTTTGACTTGAGCCTTGATATTGAACAGAATAGTTCTATCACTAGCTGTCTCAAAAACTTCAGTTCCACAGAAACCTTGAATGCGGAGGATAAGTTTTTCTGTGACAAGTGCAGTAGGTAGGTCTCTCTGCTTGCTTTCTTTCATTAAGAGAATCCATGCAATACGCAATAATGTGTTCCATTCTGCAATTTAGCCTGCAAGAGGCTCAAAAGAGGATGAAGATTAAAAAGCCACCTCAAATTCTAGTCATCCATCTGAAGCGTTTCAAATACATGGAACAACTTGGTCGATACAAGAAGTTGTCCTATCGCGTAGTGTTCCCTCTAGAGCTGAAACTGAGCAACACTGTGGAAAACGCTGATTCTGAATACTCTTTGTTTGCTGTTGTCGTTCATGTGGGGAGTGGGCCCAACCATGGGCATTATGTTAGTCTTGTAAAAAGCCACAACCACTGGTTGTTTTTTGATGATGAAAATGTGGAGATGATTGATGAGTCGGCTGTTCAGACTTTCTTTGGATCTGCTCAGGAGTACTCAAGCAATACGGATCATGGATACATCCTCTTCTATGAGTGCCTTTCTTCAGATGAGAAGAGCTGATGAAAGGGCATCTAATCAAGTGACTATATACTTTTGCCGTTTTATAGCAAAGTGTTTTCTGTCCTCTACTCATTTGATCTCCTTTTGTTACCCATCACGCTCAATCGGCTCAGAGACTAGATGCTTGTAGAGTGGATGTTCGATGTATACCGGACAACTATTTGTCGCAATAAAAACAAGTGCAAATCTTGATACAGGAATACTGTCTGTCTTGAGATGTTTGCTGGTGATTAGGTGACTGAAACTTTCACATATCCCACACCTTAAAAACTGATGAGAGTTTCTCATTTGTGTCAAATTCTTGCGGGATTTCATTTAGCCACAGACTTAATCATGCATTTCCTTTTATGGGTATAGTCTTGCACATGGTAGTATTTCATAAAATGAGAGTCTCTAGGCTAGAATTTTGCTAATAAGTCTGGTTTTTTCTCCTATTCTTCAACACCTTTTTTCTTTTCTCCTTTTGTGACAGCATGTTTGCTAATGGTGATTGCAGGGACACTGTTGGAAACCCACCCAACTCCATTACACACATGTTATTTGCTGATCTAGCTTCTGTACATTTTGTTACAAATGCATAAATGGGGCCTATGCCCCTTAAATTGTGAACAGCACCCCACTTAAAGGAAAATGGAAAAAGAAAAAAAAAAAAAAAAGATGGATTCTCGGTTGCATCTTCCCATCTGTATAAAGGCATGTACCGCCAGGAAGAATTTGGCTCCGGTATTTGTTTAGTCATTTTCAAAGTATGCATCTTGCAGAGGGCTGAGGAAACCTATATACATATATGTATGGTCCATCATTGAATGAAAACGTAGTCGGAAAGCACTAAAAGTTGTGACAGGTAAGCGTTAATGTAAACAAGAGGGACTTTCATTTTCCAAATTAGAGTTCTCCTTTTTACATGGTTTGATCCTAGAGCCACCGGGAAAAGAATTGAAATGACGCATCTTGCACCTTTAAGCACATGCTTTCCAGGTTAAAATTCCAACTCCAATTTGAAAAGTTACGCATGAAGTATAAAGTGACGTAAAACATTAAGTAATGTACATGATTCGTCTAATATTTTCATTGTTATTGTGCCTCGCTGTTGTTCCTCTGCCTTGTGTTCTAAAGTAGTAAAAGCAAGGGAAACTATTCCAAATAAGAACATTTGATCAGCAGCACTCTCCAAACAAAACTTTTTTATTACATGCACAACAACAACAAAGATGTGCCTTTGCGAGATTTGGAAACATCAGAAACCAGAGCTTGCTAAATGAAGCCGCTTTGATTTCACTCAGTCTCCAAATATGCATAGGATTTGGTACGTAGCTCCTCTCTATGTATAAAGGTACTCTTTCCCCAGTTTTCTTCACGTAGTACTTCTTCTTTCCATCACAGCAGCAGCAGCGGCAGAAGAAGACCAATCCATCGAACCAAAGTCTCTCAAGTGTTTTACAATGTCGGTGTTTCATCCATCCGTGGAACTGCAAGTTATCTGCGCCGACTACTTTGGCGACGAACTTGTGTTGCCTCTGCCCAAGCTTTAATAACAAGATGGATAGCTACAAAAGCAGCGGGAAGAATACTGCAGCAAGGGTATCTGGAAAACCTGCTGCCACCGAGGTCCAGAATAAGGGTACTGACCATCATCAGTCCATGGTTCGAAGTCTTGGGCGAGACCGAGACGACTCGGCCGAGTCGTCACCGTCTCGGCCCCTACCGATACGATATCGTGACGAAACGATACCGAAATACTTGACTCGCCGAGAAATCGGCCGAGTCGTCACCGCGACGGATTGACTCGGCCGAGTCACACTGAGTCACTCCGAGTTATCCCGAGTCAAGACGAGAAATCAGCGAGTCACACCGCGACGGATTGACATGGCTGTTTCTTTTGCTATTTTTTAATTATTTTTATTTAGCATACTTTTTTATATTATTAATAATTTTTAGAATATTAAATACTTTAAAATTTGCGTCTCACCGAGACCGCGACCGATATGTCGAGACCGATGTGGAACGTTCCGGGCTGCGACCGCGACCGCAACCGTGACTTTGAACCATGATCATCACCACCCCCCCTGTAGCCACAAGAAATCATTCCTGGGATTCTCTCCGGCTTTTGATGGCTTGCATTGTTTCGAGACGCTGAATTGGAATTGATGAGGTTCACCATCCTCAAAAGAAACCACAAACGTATCCTTCTCCCTTCCATGTCAAAAGGAGGTAGTAGTCACACTGTAGTGGCTTTTCGTAATATCCTAGTAGCTTGGGATTTCTTCTCGAGGGGATCACGTTTGTATATACCGATGCTTCCATCCATGTTTGTGACTTCAAGTCCTCTATTTTTGTTATCTCTAACATCCTAATCCCACCCACCTCTTCTTACATAAAACCAAGGGAAAGATGAAAGAAACTTGATATGAATTTTTTTTTTTTCTTCGAAAGCGTCTTTTGCTTTAAAACCACCTACTAGCTAAAAATCTTAAAGAGGCATAGAAATCCTATGCCTGTAATCAGTCAGTTAATGACCACACACCACCGGGCATTAGGACTCTCGAAATAACCAGATCCACAATTCATGATTTTAAGTACAATCTATCGTTTTCCCTAATTTAATTTTTTACCATGCGTACCTTTAGCGTTCATACCACCTGCGAATTGTGTTAGAATCAATCACACCCCAAAATCCTCGAAACTCCATAATACAACACAGTATTAAACTAACCAACCAACAAACTAATTCCAAAATCTCATTATTATCCTTCATAGAGATTTCTTCGTTTTCATAACTCTAACAATGCACTTGAGACTAGAATTGCAGAATGATTTTTAACTTATCCTCAAACCATGAAAAATTACAGTCGATGGTCTACATGAAAGCTATAAAAGAAAAAAAAAAGAGAGCGAAAAAGTAGCAGTTTTATACACTACATATTTACATACATTGAACCATTGCACTAGCGTTCCATCAATGAACCGAGCGCAGTCAATAAATACAGCGTCAATAATAGGCACAATTTGTGTTCGAGGCTCATTCAAATGCCATGGACATGAAAGTATCGTGATCCGACAATTTTTCAACATCAAATAGTTCCTCATCAGCGTAGCTCACATCTTCAGAACCACTAAGTGTCGGGTTGGAAGTATCCTGTTGAAGATAATCATCATTATCAGCGATTTCAGAGCTAAAGGGAGCTCAGTGTGTTTGTGCATTATTAAAGGGTATTTCTGGGACTTTATTTTTTTTTTGCTTCAAGCATCCTTTGCCACAATAAAGTGGACAAGTGCTCCACTTCAAAACAAGTATAAAAGATAACTCCAATTGCAGTTTTAAAAGATAGCTTCCTTTGGTAAATGATCTATTTAGCTCATGATGAAGTTCGAGCGAATACAAGGATATAACATATTTATGTTGATTAAGTACCTCAGTTTCGCGGAATCCTTCAGCAACAGTTAGCAGCCTTCTGTATTGAGCTCTTGCCTCAGGGTATTGAGCCATGGACTTGACCCTAGAAAGTGCTTTTTGTAACCTCTCTTCAGTCTGTTTTCTTCCTTCCTTAGAAAATCATAATCATCATCCTTTCTGGGCATGTTTTCAGCGCTTGGACATTTGGCAACTGCATCTGGGCGAAAACCCCTTAAACCACTCCCTTTCCGCCTCCACCGCAATATCACCTTCTCTAGGATTCCCACCGACCAAATTATTGTTTTATACTTCTTCCTCACCTGATGCCCCCGTACATGAGCCTTTACACCAGAACAACAGAAACAGGAAATGAGTTCTGAATCCACATGGTTTGTGCATGGTAAAATGAACTGGTCATATCTAAATGTTTAAGAAAGATATATAATGTACATACAGGTCCCAACCCACAGAACCGAGGAGGATATACTAAAGATAATTAGAAGCACGAAACCACCACACACACACACCCCAAAAAAAAGTTCAAATTGTTCAACCAGCGAGTTTCCCAGAACATTAGGCCAAGTTTTATAGCAAATCATGATCCTAAATTGTGTGGAAAATGAAATGCAAAGTTTACAGCCATGGAAAGCACAAACTTAGTGAACCAATGAAAGATTTGCTATCAAAATTTACACTACCAAAGTTCATTTGGGGTGCATGACCAAATATTCTTGCTATTTTTCAAGAGAATGAACTATGCTCTTCCAAACAAAAGTTAAAACAACATGTTAAGAAATGAAAAAGGAAATACCCACCTGGATTTTAACAATTCTTTGCCTAATAATTAGAAATTCTTTTCGCTTCTTCCAACCACGAAACTTTTTCTGAATGCTTATTGCAGCACCATGAGCAGTCCAATCATTCTTACCCAGCCTGCTTGTTTTGGCTGCTATAAGAGAGAGAGTATGCTCGTCCATAGATGATGACTCATTAATGTGCTGAATATCAAGCTGCTTCCTCTGAAAGGATTGAATCCTAAAAATTTGATGAATCCGAGCAGCTGCTTGAGTTGCATTCGATACAGCAGCCATAGAATCCTTCAATGACAGTGAATCTGGCACATCCTGTTCAGTAATTGGAGATGCAACACGTTCTGAAACAGTTTTTATAGCTTTTGCTTCAGAGTATTGCAAGGTATCATCATCCTTTGAATCTTTCACAGCCAATCTTGAAAGGTGTGTTGTCAAGGAGCACTCAGCAAGAAAACCAGCTATCCCCTTGTGTCCATTTGCGGAAGCAAGGTCTGCAGGAGTTCTGCCCAAAGGATGTTCAGCAGATGGATCTGTTAACGCTCCAGGAGCCGCACCAAGAGAAACCAGAACAGCAACCGTGTCCTCCCTGTCAAACAAGCGAGGGAAAATATAAAAAGCATTCCTCCAAAACCATGTAAAGCTAAACACTAGCTCACATCAAACTTCAAAAAATTATTTCTTCAGTTGCTTCTCACTTTTGGGAAGCAAAATATGAAATGAATCTAAATTTTACAGAAAATTAGTGTTTAAACTTCATGACAAAAAACCCATTGACACTGTCAGATTTGACTTTTGCACAAGTGACAAGGCACCATCACTTCTCATAACAGAAAAAAAATTAAAGGAAAAACAAGTAATATAGATTACATGCATTTGAATTATACACAAAAACAGAAAGACAACACCCACGGGGTGTCTCTTGTTTAGCAGAATAAAAACTCCAAAAGCCTTTTTACCTGCCACATAGAGCAGCCCAGTGAAGTGCAGTCCATCCATTTACATCACGAAAATCTATACTAATTCCTGAAATAA